CATTCTTTTACAGCCGCCGAGATGTAATACCTTTACGGAGCATATCGTGACTTTCGATCTACAAACGAAAAAAGAAGCAATTATACGAGGCCAACGTTAATTCGTAGGTGCAGTTAGACCGTTAACCTTCGCATTTGTTTAGACAAATCAATTACAAGCATCATCCTGCCGTTCAGTGAATTTGAATTACAAATCGTTTGCTGTTTTCAAAAAAAAAAAAAAAAACAAAAAAACAAAAAAAAAAAGGAAAAACTTGACAAAGAAAGACTTATACGCCGCTTTTCGAAGATTTCTTTCTCCAGATGATTGTGTCACTGATTTTTAGATTTCTTTTGCCATAAATTTTTTAACTCTTATATCAGTCGAATATGAAATAATTCAACTTCCAGTTAAAACATCTTTGGTGTGCGTTTTCTCAAACCTTAATCACAACTGAGATGCATATAATGTGTTGTGTTGTGTCGTATCGGCTTATCAATTCCTTAAGCTTCTAACTCTAAAATTTTTCTGAAACTAAAGCTTTTGATCTTCCAATCTTGTTTTCTCAATTAGCAGATAATCATCAGATACTAGGATGTCTGAGCGATAGCGACAATACCCTAAGCTGGACTTTATTCTCTGTTCTCTGAGCTATTCATTTATCACTTAAGGTTGTGTTCCGAGAAATAGGTGTAACATAAAATCTCTATGCAGAAATTTATTTTTGACATGTCTGTGCTTATTAACTAAAGCGCAACTAGATGGCGATATTCTCATGTTCTTCTTACAATCTTGGATGAGGAAAATGTAAATATCGATCTGCTCCCACTTCTGCTACTACTAGGAGGAGTGAGGTAAAAGACGATACTTCTGGTATGATATGGTATTTATTCTCATCGTAATCGTGAACTTTTCCCCACATTTTCCATCATCCACCATTCCACCATCGGCTAAGAAATATTTCAAGTTAGCGAGCATTGAGTTAGTTGTGGTATGTAAATAGTGACTACTACTACTTTGGCGATACCAGACTGTTTTATATGTCAGTCTTACTCGACTTGCAATAAATAGCAACATACTTTTTTTCAGTGTAATTGTACATCTCTTTTCAAACAGACGGAAACACGTTTAGATCTTTGAGCATCTTTGAGC